TCGACTAACTTCAAATACAAGAAAGGGAGAACAAAATATAGAAGCAGTGTCTGTATAGTGTGTGTACTCTCCTCTTTCAACACAAACCCTCCCTCTATTTATAGTACAATTTCAACTGCTTGCTTGCTCCATTTGTGCAGCTACCCCAATTGTTTACTTTAAAAACCCACCTACTTGCTTCAAATGGCCAGCTGTTTGCTTGTAATAAATGGACTAGCTAGCTTGTCTCTCGAGAACAATTTGATTTGTGTCAGTTACTAGCTTTCAGTGGCCAGCTGCTTTCTTGTAATAAATGGACCAGCTAGCTTGTTTCTCTACTAGCTTTCAATGGCTAACTGCTTGCTTGTAATAATTGGACCAGCTAGATTGTTTCTCTATGGTCGAGAGACGAACACAAATGGAGGAGCTGCTTGCTTCCCGACCAGATAGCTTCCCAATTTGACGTAAGTCAATAGCTTCAGCTACTAGCTTCCCACGAGAATCCCAAAATGAAACCAACTTTTCCTTATGTTTAACAGTAGGCAGTTTGACTCTGCATTGTTAATTATCTCTCTTTCCGCGATTCATCACCATAATACACGATGGGTTTCGTATATTGATAACAAAAGGGGACGCAACCGAAGTGGTACGGCTCTTTGCCCTCGCATAGGACGTCGCGGGCTTGAGTTCCGCCAATGTCAGATTTCGAACCCTAACCATCTTTTTGTTGAATTGACTCATTATTCCGTTCTTATTGGACAGAATACCATGAAACATGACTCAAACACAAAACCAAGCATAAAATCGGGAAATCAAATGAACTTGGTACAATTTAGGTAAATTTAGGATGTAAAGATGTAGGTGAATATATGTACAATTTAGGTGTTATCAAATTCCCCCACACTTAATCCTTTGCTTGCCCTCAAGCAAAGCAGGAAAAATGTAAGTTCAATCAAAACCAATTTCACAAGAATTCTAACCGTGAGTTGGGAAAATGTGAATTTCATATGATTGCTAAAGATGGTGCAATAGGTAGCGAGTTATGGATGCGTTCAACCACCACAAACAACAATCGATCATAATACTCCTGTGACATTGGCAACTCTGATTCAGATTTATAAGAACATTCTTCTATCTTTAATAGTCATTCGGCACAATCAATTGTTCAAGCATAAGGTTCACAAAACATAGCATGAGAGATCAAGCAAATAGATCTTACTTGGGATTTTAGAATTTGGATAGTATCTCTCACTCGACCAGTGGGGTCAGGGTAAATGCATGTAGCATGTAATTATCACTTATTCCCTACCATCTCTCTGCCATGAGCTTATTGTTCGAGTCTCCAAAGTTGTGTCACCACTGACTTGTCAGGTAGGTCTTTGATTGGGTGTCAAATGGGGCTAGGGTTACGGACATGTGTAAGTTCTTTTTTTTTTCGCACCGAAAACCATGAATTTTCTGCTTATCTTTGTAAGATGAAAATATAGAAAAGGGAGAAGATTTTGAGAATTAATAGGAGTTTAAAATGTAGCCAATGTGGCTTTTGAAGAATGACTCCTATTTATCATAAGTGCATGAAAGATGGTGGCCACCTGATCACTTTTTTTTTCTTCTTCTTTTATTTGTTAATTTTTTTCGAGTGGCCAACAATTCCATTTTTGAAAAATGCACTTGCAGAAATCGTTTCTCCGTATCTCAACTTTTGTATTTAATAATTGAAGCAGAAAGTAATTTTTTTAAGGGGATTGCTAAATACCGCCCTAACTTAACTATAATTGCCCTAATTTAAATCCTGTAATTATCTATTTATCCTTCTCTCATTTTTGTTTCAAAAAAATATTATTCTTATAAACACGTAAAAAAACTAGAACCATGTACTTTCCATCACCATCGCCGCCGTCCGTTGGCCATTATTTCTCATAGCCCCCGCCGATTGTCCCGATTCTCTCCGTCAATTGCCTTCATCGACGTTTTTGTTATACTCATCGTAGCAGGGAGAAGGGCAGCACATGCACCTGCGACATATCACGGCGGGAGTTGATTCCGATGATGGGGAGAAAGGATAGATAGATCCGAGTGAGAGTTGATTCCGGGGGCGTGGAGATCAGGAAAGAATCGGTTGGGAGTTGATTTCGGAGGTGAGTGGTTCACACGACATATACAGCGGGGAGGTTACAGTGATGGATATTTGATTAAAAAAAATTTCATTGGGAGAAAAGAGGAAGCCAGGGCATTTGGAGTTGGTTAATGGTGGTCGGATTGGTGGTTAGTATGGCTGCACGCTGCAATATTGAAAAGCAATTTGTTTTTGTCAAAGAAATAAATACAGATGGTTTTTTATTTGAATTATTTAATGGAGGATAATTTAGTAATTTTTTATTGAAAAATAGGCCGATGATAGACAACTTAGGGCAACGTTTAGCCATTCAGTTGTTTAAACCATTCACACGGAACCTTGAAAAAAGGTTCAAAATGAATTGAGGCTTGAAGAACAGAGATTGGTTTAAAATAGGTTGTCACCGAACAAAAAGGCTCGTCTCAACGGGGTTGACTAATGGATACGATGTTCAGGGTAGTCATTTGGCTGTAGGGGTAGAACCTATTGCATCCGTCATCCTTATCAGTGGTGTCACGACTCAAACATGTATAAATCAAGCATATCATCATGCACAGAGAGGGATCTAACACGCAAGAAAGAAACGATCATGCTCAAGTCTCACGTGGTTTACTATATGCTCAGTTTCTCATGCTATGCTTCCCAAACATTATGCAACAACAATTAAAGATGATAAATTTCTTTTTCAATATTTCAGATAGTTCTTGCCGTCAAAGAATGAGTAGCACGAGAAACATTTGTTTTAATCCCTCAGTCGTCATTATAGGTTGACATGCATCCAAATCGCACTATTCTTGTACCAATTTTAGACAAAGATGAGACTCAAAACAAAACACTCTTTTTAGTATTTATTTGATTTTTTTTTAAAGTTTTATGATTTTTTCAAACTTTTTTTTTATGGATGATGAGATTATTGAAAACACAAATCACAATGATTCTTTATCAAAACACATGAATGCGAACGAATATACCCCCCACACTTGAATTGGACATTGTCCTCAATGGACGAAAATATATGGAGTAAGGATTCAAACTGTTACCATTTACCTTGTCATGGGATGTAGTGGCATGATGTACTGTGATTGTGGTTCCACTTGGCGAGTTCTTTCGTCGATCTTTCGTGATGGGTTTATTCTTGAAATTGAAAAAATCAAAGAAATATAAAATAAAAGAAAGGGAAGGAAAAGTAAAGTAAAGGAAAATGCAAACCGACATTGGGTTGCCTCCCAATAGCGCTTCTTTAACGTCGTATTAGCTGGACTGTAGTGTACTTCATCAAGGTTTCTAAAGATGAAGTGCCTCGGGATTCGAGTAGAAATTGCCACCGAGGTATGGTTTCAGACGATGACCGTTACTTTGAAAGTTCCCCACTAGGGATGCGAAATTTCAGCAATGCCGTAGGGAAATACTTGTGTGATCAAATAAGGACTGGTCCATCTGGACTTGAGCTTCCCATGAAACAAACGAAGACGAGAGTTGTATAGCAAGACTTGATCTCCAACGTGGAATTTTTTGTCTTGCTTTATCTTGGAATCGTGGATTCGTTTCGTTCGTTCCTTGTATAACTTGTAATTTCCATAGGATTGTAGGCACATTTCGTCAAGCTCATTGATTTGGGACTGACGATGATCCTTGGTAGCATCTCTGTCGAGCTTAAGGTATTTGAGCGCCCAGTAAGCTTTGTGCTCCAACACGACGGGCAGGTGACAGGCTTTGCCATACACCAACCGATATGGTGAAGTGCCGATTGGTGTTTTGTATGCCGTACGGTAAGCCCATAGTGCAGTGTCGAGCTTGTTGCCCAGTCTTTTCTTGATTGAATGACTGTTTTCTCCAAGATCCTTTTGCACTCACGGTTGGTGACCTCCACCTGACCACTAGTTTGAGGTTGGTACGCGGCGGAGACCCGGTGAGTTACACCAAATCGTTGGAGAAATTTGTCAAATTGACCTTGTAAGTGGGTTCCTTGGTCGCTGATGATTGCTCGCGGTGATCCAAACCTTGAAAACAGTTTCTGGAAAAACTTTCTAACACTTCGAGAGTCATTAGTTGGCATGGCTTGTGCCTCGGCCCACTTGGAAACATAATCCACTGCCACGAGTATGTATTTGTTCCCGAATGAGGTCGGGAAAGGTCCCATGAAGTCAATTCCCCAAATATCAAATATTTCAAAAACAATGGACATTTTTTTGTGGCATTTCATCACGTTGGGAAGTATTACCTGACCGTTGACACGCATCACAGGTGCGTACATATGCATCACAATATTTAAAGATTGTTGGCCAATAAAATCCACATTCCAATACCTTTCGCACTGTGCGATTGATTCCGTGGTGTCCTCCGGTCCGACCTTGGTGGCAATGAGATATTATGCTCCATGCTTCGGGTTGCGGGATGCATCGGCGGATGATAGAATCTGCACAGACTTTAAACATATATGGCTCTTCCCAAAAATAAGATTTAAGGTCAGAAAATAATTTCTTCTTTTGTTGGTACGAGAGCTCCGTTGGCAGAGTCTTTCCGACCAAGTAATTGGCTAAATCCGCATACCATGGGGTTTCAAGTTCAACTCTTCCGACTGTGTAGAGTCGTTCATCCGGAAATGTTTCATTGATTTCATCCGAAACATCATTTTTTGGATTTTCCAGTCGGGATAGGTGATCTGCTGCCAAATTTTCCACGCCTTTCTTATCTCGAATTTCGATGTCGAATTCTTGAAGAAGAAGAAGAATCCATCGAATCAGACGAGGTTTGGCATCTATCTTGTTCATTAAATACTTCAAAGCAGAGTGATCAGTAAAAACAACGCATTGTGATAAAACTAGGTATGATCTGAACTTATCAAATGCAAACACCACAGCTAGTAATTCCTTTTCAGTTGTTGTGTAATTTTCTTGAGCATCATTTAAGGTTTACTTGCATAGGAAATTTGTTTGCAATGTTTGTCATACCTTTGGCCGAGGACAGCTCCTACGGCGTAGTCAGATGCGTCAAACATGAGTTCGAACGGTAGGCTGCAGTCGGGACCCACCATAATCGGGGCGTGGGTCAGTTTGTGCTTTAGTGCCTCAAATGCGTCGTTGCATTCCGCCGTAAAGTCAAATGGAGCATCCTTCTCGAGAAGCTTTGTCAATGGTCGAGCAATTTTGGAGAAGTCTTTCATGAAGCGTCGATAGAAGCCCACATGCCCAAGAAAACTCCTTATTGCTTTCACATTGACTGGTGGTAGAAGGTTGGAGATGACGTCAATTTTGGCTCGATCAACCTCGATGCCTTGTGAAGTAACATTGTGCCCAAGGACAATGCCCTCGGTCACCATAAAGTGGCATTTCTCCCAATTGAGAGTGAGATTCGTCTCTTCACATCGGATTAGAAATTTTTCGAGGTTGCGGAGGCATTTGTCAAATGCATCTCCGAATACTAAGAAGTCACCCATGAAGACTTCCATGATATCTCCCACCAACTCGTCAAAGATGGAAATCATACACCGTTGAAAGGTTGCTGGTGCATTGCATAATCCAAAAGGAATGCGCCGATACGCAAAAGTACCGTACGGACAAGTGAATGTGGTTTTCTCTTGATCTTCTGGTGAGATGGGAATTTGAAAGTAGCCAGACATCCCATCGAGGAAGCAATAGTAATTGTGGCCGTCCAATCGCTCGAGCATTTGATCAATGAATGGGAGTGGGAATTGATCTTTTCTGGTGGCATCATTCAGGTGACGATAGTCTATGCAGACTCTCCAACTGGTGACTGTTCTGGTGGGGATGAGATCCTTCTTTTCATTGGTGATGACGGTCATCCCGCCTTTTTTTGGGGCTACCTGTACAGGGCTCACCCATGAACTATCGGGGATGGGGTAAATTACTCCAGCATCAAGTAACTTGATCACCTCAGCTTTCACTACTTCCTTCATGTTCGGATTGAGTTGACGTTGAGGCTGGACCACCGGCTTGTAGTCATCCTCCATCAGAATTTTGTGCGTGCGAAATGAGGGATTGATTCCTCGAATGTCGGAGATTTTCCAGGCCAAGGCTTGTTCATGACTTTTCAATAGTTTGATCAATCTCCCCTTCTCCTCGTTAGTTAGGGAGGCGTTGATGATGACGGGGAGCTTGGAGTTTTCTCGAAGGAAAGCATACTCGAGGTGGTTTGGTAATTGCTTCAGTTCGAGAGTTGGTGGTTCTTCGATGGAGGACTTGATTTTCTCTGATTTAGGGATTTCTACTACCTTCTCCTCCTGCTCCAATTCTTCAGATTCCTCCAATAGCGCAGCTTTCCCAATTTGTTGGACAGATCCCGTTGTTTCCTGTCCTTGAGTAAGGCAAAGCTGTAAAGCATCTGAATGAAGAATCTCATAAACAAAGTTAGCAGTCTCAGCATCAATTACATCCGAACAAAAATTGGCATCATCATTTTCACGAGCATATTTCATGCTTTCTGGAATTTTGAATGTCATTTGTTCTTCCCCTACTCTCAAAATCAATTTTCCATCATACACATCAATTAGAGCCTTTGCAGTTGCAAGAAACGGTCTACTAAGAATTAATGACACATCGATATCCTCATCAATATCTAGGATCACAAAATCGACAGGGAATATGAATGAGCCAATTTTAACAATTCATCTTCTATGATTCCCCTAGGATAAAGAATTGAATGATCAGCCAATTGGATGTCATTCGTGTAGGATTAGGTTCACCTAGCCCTAAACGTTTAAACATTTTATATGATATAACATTTATACTTGCTCCAAGGTCAGCTAAAGATTTATAAATATAGACAGAACCATTTAAGCAAGGTATAGTTAAACTCCCTGGGCCATTTCGTTTCTCCGGAAGCTTGTTTTGGATGATGGCCGAACATTCATCATTCAACATTACTATTGACAGATCCTCCAATTTCCGCTTGTTGGTGAGGATTTCTTTTAGGAACAGAGCATACTTTGGCATTTGAAACATGGACTCCACAAATGGGATATTAACATGAATTTGCTTTAGGAGGTCCAGGAATTTCCCGAAGTGTGCGTCAAGGCGATCCTTGTGGATTCATGATGGGAATGGAATTTTTGGCTTGTATTCTGGCACCACGAGCTTTTGGGGCTGAGTGGTGTCCGCATCATTTTCTGGATTTGTGTCTTTTTCGATTTGAGGGGAGTTGCTCGGTTGCAACTTTTTGCCGCTCCGGAGTGAGATGGCCTTCAAATGTTGCTTCTGCTTCGGATTGACTTTGGTGTCGCTCGGAAGGCTGCCTTGATTTCTCTCAGAAAGTAGCTTGGCCATTTTCCCAACTTGTGTTTCCAAATTATGCACTGAAGCTTGAAGATGTCGTTGGCCTGCTTCAAGGTTCTGGAATCGATCCTCGGAGACGGAAATGTATTTTTCCAGAGCTTGGAATTTGGAGTCGGAGGTGGAGATGAACTTGCCAATCATATCTTCGAGACTAGATTTCTTTTCTTGTGATGGCAGTTGTTGATGGTGCTGATTGTAATTGCTTGATGATGCTTGATTAAATCCGGGTGGATAGCGTTGATTCCCTTGGTTGGACCAAGAGAAGTTTGGATGATTTCGCCATCCTGGATTGTATGTGCCGCTATATGTATTTCCGCTCCTCTGAGGATTGTTGATATAATCAACATGCTCGGTGGTGGATGTTGAGGAGATCAACTTGAACTCGGTAGTGTTGTGGTCACCAGCACGCCATTCGCACTTGTACACCTTGCCGGATACATTGAGCTGGTCAAACTTTTTGTTGAGGTTTTCAATTTGTGCGGCCAAGGCTGTAACTGGGTCGACTTGGCGTACTCCGACACTTTTGGTTGGCTGTGGTCGGCACTTGTTTTGGGGGGGATACCATTCATAGTTGTTCATTGCCATGTCTTCGATTAGCTGATCTGCTTGGGGAGGTGTTTTGTTGTTGATGGTGCCACCCCCTGCTGCATCAATTGATTGTTTCGTCTCTGGATTTAGCCCATTGTAGAAAGTTTGTATTTGTAGCCAATGGTGAATGCCGTGATGAGGGCATCTCCTGAGGGTGTTCTTAAATCTCTCCCAAGTTTCGTAGAGAGTTTCAGATTCTTCTTGGCGGTAGGCGGCGATGTCGTTCCTCAGTGATACGCCCCGGGGGGGGGGGGGGGGTGTATGTTATCAAAGTAACGCAGCAAACGACTCAATCGAAGAATCGATTGAGCTCGAATCAAGAACGAAGCGTTCTTAATACGAACTTGGATAAAGCGGAACCAAAAGGACAAATCCACACCTGGGGATAGCTCGATTGGTATAAAAGGGTAGTTGCTCGACCACGATTGAAGTGACTATTCAATCGATACACAAGCTCAGCAAGTTTGGAATCCACCAAACCCAAAACAAGTCGCAACTTGCACAAACCAAACGGTTCTCAATTTCGATTAATCAAAGTCTGAATTTTTACAACGAAAATAGAAGAGTATTTAAAGTCAAATAAACCTAATACAAACCTAATAGAACTAGGAAACAATTAAGGTAAAAATCTACTCTAAAAAGGACTCAAAATTCGGATTTAAACTCTCTTTCTTCAAGTGCAAGTAAGCTGCCAGCTAACAGTCAAAAAGCAGCTTTTGTACTAACTTCACACCTTTCGTACAAGGCCTTCTAGAACTCCGATCTTTCATCCGATTCCTTCCATTGGTAGATAAACATTCCTAGTTTCATGTTGTAGAAGCCTTTGGTCTCGAATCAGATCCATGCTCCTTGAATTGAGCTCCAAAATAGGCTTCACAAAACAGTTTCCAGACTTAAACCATTTTCTGGCAGTTTTCCAGTTTTGAGGTAGCAACTTTGAGGCCTTGGAAAACAACCTTAATGACATCATCTGGATCCACCAAGCATACCATTGGAAAGATGGTAACTTTATCTGCAAAACAAAGCCTTAAAAAAGAATTTCCACCAAGCCAATTGAGAGAACCATGCCTCCAAAGTATGTACTCTGAACACGGATTTTGACTTAGCCAAATTCTGCCTTTCTTCTTCCCACCTTCGATAGCTTCTTCCTCAAGTAATTTAAACGTGTAGAGCTGGCCAATTGGGATCATATCACTAAGCTTCATCATCTTTCTTGGTGGGAAATATTTGGCTAAGAATTTTTCAGCCAACCCGTCCCACGTTGTGATGGAATTCCGTAGATGACCGTCCAGCCACTCCCGTGCTCTATTGTCGAGAGAGAACAGGAACAGTCGAAGGCGAATAGCATCGGCGGAGGCACCATTGATTTTGATGGTGTCACAAAGCTCCAGAAACTTCTTGATATGAGTGTTGGGATCTTCGTCGGGCATCCCATTGAATTGCACCCAATTTTGGATCATTTGTAGCATCCCGGTTTGATTTCGAAGTTGTTGGCTTCGATATTGGGCCTTCGAATGCTTGAGTCAGTTCCGTCCAAGGTAGGACGGGCATAATCAGACATTGTCCGATTGTTCACTTCGGCGTGTTCTTCCGCCATTGTGTGTGGCTGCACTTGTTGCTCTCTCCTTCGTTGACGAAGATTTCTCTCGATCTCAGGATCAAGGTCGACTAGTCCAAGTGCGTGGTTTCGGGTCATGCACTATTTCAAGCACCAAAACAAGAACAACCCGTGAAAGCAACAAGTGTGATATAACAAGATAAATAAAGCGACTAAATTAATAGTTCAAAGTTTTTTCTAATAACTTAGTCCTCGGCAGCGGCGCCAAAAACTTGATCGCCCGTAACTAACACAGAAAAAATAGGCAAGGGTACCTATCGTTCTAAGGTAGTATAGCAGGAAGCAAGGTCGTATCCACAGAGACTTCGTGTACTAGTACTCAGCTTTTATCTATTTCCCTAGTTAATCATTTTTAGTTGATTTTCGTTTGGAAATAAAAACACACGCAATAATAAAAACACAATAAAGTAGTTTTCAAAGTAAAATCAATTGGATTAGGCGTTGTCGCGGAAGTGAATCCCCCTAATATGCATTTTACAGACAAGTTGAATCTAACATAGACGAGTGTTAATATCTTAGACCGTGAAAAATCCCAATTTAGTGTTAACCCATTCGCACATGTACTAACACCCTTTCACCTTAAAAATCAAGTGAAACCGTGGCTTAAAGGTTGAGAACATTACCATGATGATGACGGCGACGAAGACGGAGGGGTTGAGAATACGGTATGTATATTGAGTTAATATATTACACCTAGCAAACTTCCGACAGGGGAATAATCGTTGGGCGAAGACGGTGAAAACCGACCAATCTACTATCACAAATGATTATCAAAACCGCACAGAATAGAAGCTCACTTCGGTAATTTTAATAACGCAATATACCACGGTATTCCCAAATACTAACACAAACATAAGAACCACAATGGATGAAATACGAGATATGATTAACGAAATGAAAAGAAGTAACAAGAGTTTGGAATGAAAATGGACAAAGTTTCGACTAACTTCAAATACAAGAAAGGGAGAACAATATATATAAGTAGTGTCTTTATAGTGTGTGTACTCTCCTCTTTCAACACAAACCCTCCCTCTATTTATAATACTATTTCAGCTGCTTGCTTCTCCATTGGTGCAGCTACCCCAATTGTTTACTTTAAAAATCCAACTACGTGCTTCAAATGGCCAGCTGCTTGCTTGTAATAAATGGACCAACTAGCTTGTCTCTCGACCAATTTGATTTGCGTCAATTACTAGCTTCCAATGGCCAGCTGCTTGCTTGTAATAAATGGACCAACTAGCTTGTTTCTCGAGAGACGAACACAACTGGAGGAGCTGCTTGCTTCCCAATAATGGACCAGCTAGCTTCCCAATTTGACGTAAATCACTAGCTTCAGCTACTAGCTTCCCACGAGAATCCCAAAATGAACCAGCTTTTCCTTATGTTTAGCGGTAGGCAGTTTGACTCTGTAGTTTGCAGTTTGACTCTACATTGTTAATTAGCTCTCTTTCCGTGATTCATCACCATAATACACGATGGGTTTCGTATATTGATAACAAAAGGAGACGCGGCCGAAGTGGTACGACTCTTTGCCCTCGCCTGGGACGTCGCGGGCTCGAGTTCCACCAATGTCAGATTTCGAACCCTAACCATCTTTTTGTTGAATTGACTCATTATTTTGTTCTTATTTGATTGAATACCTTGAATTATGACTCAAACACAAAACCAAGCATTAAATCGGGAAATCAAATGAACATGGTACAATTTAGGTCAATTTCGGATGTAAAAGTGTAGGTGAATATATGTATAATTTAGGTGTTATCAGTAGGGTGCAATACAGGTCATGTATGTTTAAATATCGATTCGGGCTGGTCCGTGTACCCCTACTTCAATTGTTTGAAACATTATCCAGCGAATCGGATTTGGTTGCAAGGATTGCTAATTAAAGTTAAGCAAGGAAAAAGTAAACGTTTTGAAAGCTCTATGTGAGAAGGATCACTCGGGTGTCGCTTTCCCCTAACT